CTTTTAAAAATTCCTCTCATTCTGTTGATTGCTGGTACACTCTAATGATTGTTTCTTTTGCTGTGCAGATGCTCTTAAGTTTCATTAGATCCCACTTGTCTATTTTGGCTTTTGTTGCCATTGCTTTTGGTGTTTTAGTTGTGAAGTCCTTCCTATGCCTATGTCCTGAATGGTAATGCCTATGTTTTCTTCTAGGGTTTTTACATTGTTAGGTCTTACGTTTAAATCTTTAATCCATCTGGAATTAATTTTTGTATAAAGTGTAAAGAAGGAGTCCAGTTTCAGCTTTCTGCACCTGGCTAGCCAGTTTTCCCAATACCATTTATTAAACAGGGAATCCTTTCCCCATTGCTTGTTTTTGTCAGGTTTGTCAAAGACCACATGGTTGTAGATGTGTGGTGTTAATTCCAAGGCCTCTGTTTTGTTCCATTGGTCTATATCTCTGTTTTGGTACCAGTACCATGCTGTTTTGATTACTGTAGCCTTGTAGTGTAGTCTGAAGTGAGGTAACTTGATGCCTCCAGCTTTGTTCTTTTTGCTTAGGACCGTGTTAGCTATTTGGGCTCTTTTTTGGTTCCATATGAAATTTAAGGTGGATTTCTTCAGTTCTTGAAGAAAGTCAATGGTAGTTTGATGGGAATAGCATTGAATCTGTAAATTACTTTGGGCAGTATGGTCATTTTCACAATATTGATTCTTCCTAACCATGAACATGGAGTATTTTTCCATCCGTTTTTGTCCTCTCTTATTTCCTTGAATGGTGGTTTGTAGTTCTCCTTGAAGAGGTCCTTCATGTACTTTGTTATTTGTATTCTTACAGGTATTTTATTCTCTTTGTAGCAATTGTGAAGGAGATTTGCTCATGATTTGGCTCTCTGTTTGTTATTGGTGTATAGGAATGCTTCTGATTTTTGCACATTGATTTTGTATCCTGAGACTTTGCTGAAGTTGCTTATCATCTTAAGGAGATTTTGGGCTGAGACAGTGGGGTCTTCTAAATATATAATCATGTCCTCTGCAAATAGAGACAATTTGAGTTCCTCTTTTCCTAATTGAATACCCTTCATTTCCTTTCCTCCAATACTATGTTGAATAGGAATGGTGAGAGAGGGGAGACTTCTCTAGTGTCAGTTTTCAAAGGGAGTGCTTCTAGTTTGTTTCCCATTCAGTATGATATTGGCTGTGGATTTGTCATAAATAGCTTTTATTATTTTGAGATACTTTCCATCAATACCTAGTTCATTGAGAGTTGTTAGCATAAAGGGCTGTTGAATTTTGTCAAAGGTCTTCTCTGCATCTATTGAGATAGTCATGTGGTTTTTGTTTTTGGTTCTGTTTATGTGATAGATTACGTTTATAGATTTGCATGTGTTGAATGACACCTACTTGATTGTGATGGATAAGCTTTTTGATGTGCTGTTGCATTCAGTTTGCCAGTATTGTATTGAAGATTTTTGCATCAGTGTTCATCATGGATATTCCCCTGAAATTTTGTTTTTCAGTTGCGTCTCTGCCAGGTTTTGGGATTGGAATGATGTTGGTCTCATAAAACTAGTTAGGGAGGATTCTCTTTTTTTGTATTGTTAGGAATAGTTTCAGAAGGAATGGTATCAGCTCCTCTTTGTACATTTGGTAAAATTCAGCTGTGAACCCATTTGGACCTGGATTTTTTTTGGTTGGTAGGCTATTAATTGCTGCCTCAACTTCAGACCTTGTTACTGGTCTATTCTGGGATTCAACTTCTTTCTGGTTTAGTCTTTGGAGAGTGTGAGTGTTCAGGAATGTATCCATTTCTTTTAGATTTACTGGTTTATATCCACAGAGTTGTTTGTAGTAATTTCTGATGATAGTTTGTATTTCTGTGGAATTGGTGGTGATACCCTTTTAATTATTTTTTATTGCATCTATTCGATTCTTCTCTCTTTTCTTTTTTATTAGCTTGGCTAGCAGTCTATCTATTTTGTTGATCTTTTCAAATAACCAGCTCCTGAATATATTGATTTTTGAAGGGGTTTTTGCATCTCTGTATCCTTCAGTTCTGCTCTGATCATAGTTATATCTTGTCTTCTGCTAGCTTTTGAATTTGTTTGATCTTGCACCTCTAGCTCTTTTAATTGTGATGATAGGTTGTCCATTTTAAATCTTTCCTCGCTTCTCATGTGGGTATTTAGTGCTGTAAATTTCCCTCTAGACACTAGTTTAAATATGTCCCAGAGATTCTAGTACACTGTGTCTTCACTTTCACTGATTTTGAAGAACATTTTTACTTCTGCCTTCATTTCATTATTTATCCAGTAGTCTTTCAGGAGCAGGTTCCTCAGTTTCCATGTAGCTGTGCAGTTTTGAGTGAGTTCTAACTTGATTGTACTGTGGTCTGAGAGGCTGGTTGTTATCATTTCTGCTCTTTTGCATTTGCTGAGGAGTGATTTACTTCCAATCATAAGTGCAGTGTGGTGCTGAGAAGAATGTATTTTCTGTGGATTTGGGGTGGAGAGTTCATTAGATGTCTGTTAGGTCCACTTGGTCCAGATCTGAGTTCAAGTCTTGGATAGCCTTGTTAATTTTCTGTCTCGTTTATCTGTTTGATATTGACAGTGGAGTGTTAAAGTCTCCCGCTATTATTGTGTGGGAGTCTAAGTCTCTTTGAAGGTCATTAAGAACTTGTTTTATGTATCTGGGTGTTCCTGTTTTGGATGCATATATATTTAGGATAATTAGCTCTTCTTGTTGCATTGATACTTTTACAGTTATGTAATGCCCTTTTTTGTTTCTTTTAATCTTTGTAGGTTTAAAGTCCGTTTTATGAGAGACTAGGATTGCAACCCTTGCTATTTTTTTGCTCTCCATTTGCTTGGTAAATCTTCCTGCATCCTTTATTTTGAGTCTATGTGTGTCTTTGCATGTGAGTTGGGTTTCCTGAATACAGCACACTGATGGGTCTTCACTTTTTATCCAGTTTGCCAGTCTGTCTTTTGATTGGGGCATTTAGCTTATTTACATTTAAGGTTAATATTGTTATGTGTGAATTTGATCCTGCCATTTTGATACTAGCTAGTGTTGTATCCAAGTGAGTTGTTAGGAAAGCGCCACACGCTCAGATCAAATCAGGAGTCCTTTATTTGCCAGTGACTGAGAGATGGTAATGCTCAAAATTCTCTTGGCCCTGAGGAAGGGGCTTGATTCCTTTTTATAACTTGCTTAGGAAAGGGGAGGGGGAGCCTAGCTGAAGCATAATTTACAGAAGCAGAACAAGCCAGTTAGATAAGGAGGCTGGTAACCAGGAGGCAGGAGGTTCTCATGATTGTTGATTACTAAGGAGGGTATACACAAGTGGTTCCCATGATTGCTGGTTACCACGCAGGGTATTCGGTACTTGTCATATAGCCAATCAAGGGGGAATTCACAAGAGCAAATGGGCTTGCCAAGAAGGATATGATTGCATTGGTTATATGTTTCTTTAGTTGTAAGTGCAACACGACCCAGCACAGTTGCATGACCTATATATGCACTTTAAGGGAGAAATGACAGGAGGGGTGAAACGGAGGTTAAGATGGAGTCTGTCTGATTCTCAGCAAGATGGAGTCTGTCTGGCTAACACAGGGTAAGTTAGCACACTGGTTGTTTTGCCCATTACTCGATGCAGTTTCTTCATTGTGTCGATGGTCTTTACCATTTGATATGTTTTTGCAGTGGCTGGTACTGGTTGTTTTTTTCATGTTTAGTGCTTCCTTCAGGAGCTCTTGTAGGGCAGGCCTGGTGGTGATAAAATTGCTCAGAGATTGCTTGTTCTTAAAGGATTTCATTTCTTCCTTCACTTATGAAGCTTAGTTTGGCTGGATATGAAATTCTAAGTTGAAAACTCTTTTCTTTAAGGATGTTGAATATTGGCCCCCACTCTCTTTCTGGTTGGTAGGGTTTCTGCCAACAGGTTCGCTGTGATGGGCTTCCATTTGTGGGTAACCTGACCTTTCTCTCTGGCTGCCCTTAGCAGTTTTTCCTTTATTTCAACTCTGGTGAATCTGATGATTGTATGCCTTGGTGTTGCTCTTTTTGAAGAATATCTTTGTGGTGTTCTCTGTATTTCCTGTATTTGAATGTTGCCCTGCCTTGCTAGGTTGGGCAAGTTCTCCTGGATAATATCCTGAGGAGTATTTTCCAGCTTGGATTCATTCTCCCCATCACATTCAGGTACGCCAATCAAATGTAGATTAGGTCTTTTATCATAAACCCATATTTCCAACGAGTCCCATTGAGACGACCCTGGTACCTTGGTTGGAAATGCAGAGATCACTCGCTGTCTGTGTTGCTCTCACTGGGAACTGTGCTCTGGAGCTGTTCCTGTTTGGCCATCTTGGCGGAATGTCTCCCTAGAGGTCATAATTTTAAGCAAACTGACACAGGAACAGAAAACCAAATACCACATGTTGTCATATGTAAGTGGGAGATAAACATTGTACAGTACACATGGGGACAGAGATGGGAACAATAGACACTGGGGATACTGGGGACTGCTTGAGGGAGGAGGGTTAGGGGAGGGTATGGGTTAGAAAGCTAACTATTGCATACTGTGGTCACTACCATGTGATGGAATCATTCATACACCAAGCCTCAGTAACACACAATTTAACCATGTAACAAACCTGCATGTGTACCTGCAGAACCTAAAAGTTAAAACCTAATGTAATTTTCATATGGTTAAATTTAAATATACTATTTTATTATTTGTTCTTGGTTAATTCCATCTGTCTTTTTTTTCTCTGTCCTTCCTCTTCTGGCTTCGTTAGTATTATTTGAAGAATTTTTAGAATTGTATTTTAATTTATCTCCTGCTTTTTAGGCCTCCCTTTAAATCATTTTTTCCTCGAGGTATTAGATAGCAATTCTTAACATTCACATCTAATTAAATTCAACATTGGTAATAAAAATTACTGTAAATAGAAATCATACTATATTAACATAGAATATCAACACTTGTTTCTCAATTGCTTATTAAATTGTAGGTTGCAGAAAAAAATGAAATAAAAGAGTATTTTGAGTCAAAACTCTCTGAAGATGACACAACACATTTCAAGCTGCCTAAATGTCAACATTTATTAGAAACGTTTTTCAAGTTTGTGATGGTGGTTGACTACATATTTCAGGAACTTATTCGTCAACTTATGAACACTGCAGTCACACTACTTTTGGAATTATTTAATGGCTCTGCTGGAATGCCATTTTCAATGGAAAAAAAGAATGAAAATCTCATCAGGTAAATTACACTTTTGAGCTCAAAAAGGAACTTATAATATTTTAACATATTGGTGCATATGGAGGAAATAATTCAGTAAGCTAGAGTTGGAAGATTCTTCTTGTGGCAGAGTACATGTACTCATTTTGGCTATTATCAGAACTTGTTATTTGGTAATACATAATGTTGGTGCCATATAAAATATAGGATGCCCAGTAAAATTTGAATTTCATATAAGCAATATTCAAGTATTACCTATATTAAAAATTATTGTTTATGTGAAACTCAGATTTCTCTGATAATTTAGAAAATATATTTTTATTTGCTAAATCTGGCAATTCTGTGCCAAGGTATACTCTGTCTTCCAAGTTCAGAGTTAGTTTTTAAAGATATATGAGAATGCTGGAAGGAGTCAGTTCTAGGAAATATCTGTTGAATATTTTCCCAGTGAAAAAACTATTTGAAAAACATTTTTACCTTCTAGTTAAACACTACTGTTAAAAACAAAGCATTTTTCTTATTTTCCACAACTGGATATATCTACTTTAACTAGTGAAACAGGAATATTAATTGAAATGATGGCATACTTTGTAACTGGTGAAACAGGAATATTAATTAAGATGATGGTATACTTTAATTTGTATTAACTATTAAAATTTATATCATTTTAGGCTAATTAAAATTTTATTATAACTAGGTAACTAAAATATATCAATTCAAAAAATTTTGCAAATTATTCCAAATAATGTGTTGTTTTTCTAATTATTACTGAATCTACAGAGCTAACATCACTTATCTAAGGCCTTATAACTGGTTTGAGTCAGTGACTGAATTTTAATCTATATAAGAACACAACTATTTAATGATAATGCATTATAATTTGTTTCCTTTAAAACAATGTGTGTGTGTGTTTAGGAAAGGTCTTTATATTCTGAACATAGTTCTTTTTTAAAAATATTATTATAAATCATCATATTATAGAAAATTTAGAAAACAAATATCACCGTTAATTTCTTCACTTAATTACAATGTCTTAGCATTTTTATGTAACTTTTATCGTCTTTTCCTTTATGTTTTTCCATTGTTGTAATCCTAGTATGCTATTTTATAGCTCATTTTTTAAACACAATGTCTCCTGTATGCATTTTTTATGTTACAGGAAGAATGTGTATAGGTGAGGCACAGTGGCACACTTTGGGAGGCCAAGCAGGATGGATTGCTTGAGCCCAGGAGTTCAAGACCAGTCTAGGCAACATAGCGAGACCCTGTCTCCACAAAAAATACAAAAATTAGCTGTGCACAGTGGCACACGCCTGTGGTCCCAGCTACTTGGGAGGCTGATAGGGGAGGATTAAATGAGCCTTGGAGGTTGAGGCTTCAGTGAGCTGTGATTATGCCACTGTACTCCAGCCTGGGCAACAGAGTGAGATCCTATCTCAAAAAAAAAAAAAAAAAAAAAGGAAAAAAAGAAACATATGTAGGTTTAAGTAGATCTTTTTGTGCTGTCAGATCACCTGGTTTCTAATTTTTGATTTGTCTCTGGCTAGTTTAACTTAATTGAGCTATTAACCCAACAGAGGTTGAATAAATTTGGCATAGTGGCTCACACCTGTAATCCCAACACTTTGGGAGGCTGAGGTGGGAGGATCACTTGAGTCCAGGAGTTCAAGACCAGTCTGGGCAACAAAGTGAGACCCTGAATCTACAAAAAAAAATGTAAGAAAATTAGCCAGGCGTGATGCTGCATACCTGTAGTCCCAGCTACTCGGGAGGCTGAGGTGGGAGGGTTGCTTAAACCCAGGAGGTCAAGGCTGCAGTGAGCCATGATCACTAAATAAATAAATACTTTAGACTTCAATTTCCTCATCTATATAACAAAGATAACAGTAATATCTACACCGTAATGTTGTTTGAGAATAAATACAGTCAATACCTGATAAAAATCATCAATCATTATTGGATCCGTTTCCATTGACCTCTTAACAATATTGGTTGGTATAATGTTTCCATAATGATTAATGGTGTTGAGCATCTTTGTATGTGCATTTTGGCCATTTGTATATATTCCTTAAGGAAATACCTATTCAAAATCTTTGTTCATTTTTAAATTGTGTTAGTTAATTAATTAATTAAAATGGGGTCTTGTTGTGTTTCTCATACTGGTCTTGAATTCCTGGGCTGAAGTGGTACTCTTACCTCAGCCTCCCACATAGGTGGGACTACAGGTTCATACTATCATGCTCAGCTAAGTTATTTGTCTTTAGATTGCTGAGTTGTAAGAGTTCTTTATTAGATTCTGTGGGTCATCTTTTCTTTTTTAATTTATTAGGTTCTGTGGGTTATCTTTTCTTTTTTATCCTGTGGAGTAACAAAGTTTTAATTTATAATTTTTATTTAATTTTTAATTTTATTTTTATTTAAATTTTGTTTGGTTGATTGTACCTTAAGTGTATCTAAGAAATCATTGCCTAATCCAAAGTCTTGAAGATTTGCTCTTGTTTTCATCTAAGATCTTATAACTTTAGCTCTTGCATTTAAGTCTTTGATGCATTTTGAGTTAATTTTTGTATATGGTATGAGATAGGGGTCCAAATTCCTTCTTTTGCATGTGAATATCTAATTGTTCTAGAACAATTTATTGAAAAGAATAACACTATTTCTTTCTCCATTGAATTTTTGTGACACCCTAGTTGACAATCAGCTGACCAAAAATGTATGGGTTTATTACCAGACCCTCAATTTTATTTTATTGCTCCATGTCTGTCATTATGCCAGCACCATACTGTCTTGATTACTGTAGCTTTGTAGTAAGTTTTGAAATTGGGAATTGGGAATTTTCTAATATTGTTCTTCTTTTTCAATGTTTTATTGGCTATTCTGGGTTTTTAGCATTTTCATATGAATTTTAGAATCAGCTTGACAATTTCTGCAAAAAAAAAAAATTCAGCTAGAATTTTGATAGAGACAGCATTAAAACTAGAGATAAATATGGGGAGTATTTCCATTCTAATAGTATAATCTTCCAATCCATGAACATGGCTGTCTTTCCATTTATGTAGGCATTCTTTAATTTCTTTCAATATTTTATGGTTTTAAGTGTATGAGTTATACATTTCTTTTGTTAAAATTATTTGTAAATATTTTATTTTTATGCTATTATGAATGGAATTATTTTTAAAATTTTATTTTTTGGTTGTTCATTGCCAGTGTATTGAAATACAAATGATTTTTGTATATTGATCTTATATCCAGCTACTTTGTTGAACTTTTTTTATTATCCCTTATAGATTTTTAAAACTAATTGTTTAGGATTTTCTATGTACAAAATCATCTCATCTGCAAATAGAGTTTAATTTTACTTCTTTACCAGTCTGATACCTTTTATTTCTTTTTATTGCCTAGTTGCCCGGGCTAGTAAGTACTTCAGTACATTGTTGATTAGGAATGGTGAAAGCAAACATCCCTGTCTTGTTCCAGAGCTCAGGAGGAAAACTTACAGTCTTTCATTATTAAGTATGATGTGTCTATGGGTCTTTCACAGATGCCTCCTATCTGGTTGAGGAAGTTCCTGTCTTTGTTTGTTATCACATTGTCATAAAGAACTACCAGAGACTATGTAATTTATAATGAGAAGAGGTTTAATTGGCTTATGGTTACACAGTCTGTACAGGAAGCATGTCTGGGAGGCCTCAGAAAGCTTATAATCATGGCAGAAGGTGAAGGGGAAGCAGGTATGTTTTACATGGGTAGAGCAGGAGGAAGAGAAGTAGGGGGAAGTGCTGCACACTCTTTAAAACAACCAGGTCTCATGAGAACTTACTACCATGAGAACAACAATGAGGACATCTTTCCCCTTGATCCAGTCACCTTCCACCAGACCCCTCCTTCAACATGGGGGATTACAATTCGACATGAGATTTGGGTGGGGACACAAATCCAAACCATATCACCATCTGTCTTTGTTTAATTTTTTTGTCATGAAATACTTCTGGATTTTGTCAAATGCGTTTTTTTCCAGTATCTGTTGGGATGACCATATGTCTTTGACTTTATTCTATTAATGTGGTATATTACATTGCATACATACATTTTCATAAGTGGAACCAATCTTACATTCTTGGAATACATCTCATTTAATTTTAGTGTATTATCTTTTGTATATGCTGCTGGATCCAGTTTGGTATTATTTTGTTGAAAATTTTCACATCCATATTCATAAAGGACATTGGTCTGTAGTTTTCTTGTGATGTGTTTGTCTGGTTTTGGATTCATGATAATAATCACCTCATAAAATGAATTGGGTGGGGTTATTACCACCTATCTTCTGAAAAATGTGTGAAGGATTGGTGTTAATTCTTCCTGCAATGTATTTTATTTTTAATTTTTTTATTATACTTTAAGTTCCATGGTACATGGGCGGAACATGTAGGTTTGTTACATAGGTAAACATGTGCCATGGTGGTTTGCTGCATCCATCACCCCCTCATTTACATTTGGTATTTCTCCTAATGCTATCCTTCCCCTGGTACCCCTACCTCTTAAGAGGACCCATTGGGTAATGTTCCCCTTCCTGTGTCCATGTGTTCTCATTGTTCAATACCCACTTATGAATGAGAACATCGGTGTTTCATTTCCTGTTCTTGTGTCAGTTTGCTGAGAATGATGGTTTTCAGCTTTATCCGTGTCCCTGCAAAGGACACGAACTCATCCTTTTTTGTGGCTACATAGTATTCCATGGTGTATATGTGCCACATTTTCTTTATCCAGTCTATCATTGATGGGCATTTGGGTTGGTTCCAAGTCTTTGCTATTGTGAACAGTGCTGCAATAAATGTACGTGTGCATGTGTCTTTTTAAAATAGAATGATTTATAATTCTTTGAGTATATACCCAGTAATGATATTGCTGGGTCAGATGGTATTTCTATTTCTAGATTCTTGAGGAATTGCCACACTTCCACAGTTTGAACTAATTTACACTCCTACCAACACTGTAAAAAGCCTTCCTGTTTCTTCACATCT